ATGCTGGGCCACGAAACATGTCTAACAAATTTAAAAGACTGAAATCATGTACCTTTTCTGGCCAACATGGTCTGAAAGCCAAAAAATTCACCAATATGTAGAAACTAAACACATTCTTGAACAACCCATGAGTGAATGAAGAGATAAAAAGAAGCATCAAAAATACCTTTGGACAATTGAAAGTGGAAATAAAACAAATGAAAACTTATCAGATGCAGCAGAACTCAGAGAAGGAAATGTAGAGTTATGAAACCACACCCAGAAAAAAGGCCGGGGCCCGCGGGGGCAGTGTTATTGCCGGGGGACTCCCACGCGGTCGTCGGGAAAATCCCAGTGGTCATCTTCCTGGGGATTTCTCTCTCTCTCACCCTATGGCAAAACAAAAACACCTTAAAGAAAAAAAATACATAACCGCAAGGAGTTAGAGAAGAAAGAAGGAAGGTCCAAGCCGGCAGGAACGGGGGTGTGGGGGTGTGGTGGAGAAGGCGCCTGGACTCCGGTCGCCCCGGTCTGAGTCCGCGGTTGCCTCCGGGGCGCCTTCCCGTCTCCGTCTCCGCACACCACCACGGCCACACCGATCCGCTCTGACTCACTTTCTTCTCTTTTGCTTTGCTTTGTTTTGTTCTCCTTCCTCTCATCTTTCAGGTCTGGAAGTCCTTTGGTGCCCAGATGGTCACCGAACCCCGCCAGCGAGTAACCGTGTCCCGCGTGGGCGAAGCACCCAGCTCGCCTCGGGCAGGGCGGGAGGACGGGGGCGCAGCCTCCCCGCGAGCGTGGCCAGTTGGCGAGCGTTTCGGAGTCAGGTTCCTCCAGGCCCTCTAAAATACGGACTTCGGGAGCCCGGGACGTCGGGATGTACCCGGGTCGCGGATTCGCGAGCACCGGGCCCGACACTCGCATGCCTGGACTCTGGTTCCGCCGCCCCGCTTGCCTCGCGCGACCATTTCGGGGTCCCGGCCGGGGCAGGCGAGCAGAGGTGCGGGGTGCAGGAATGGAGGGCGCGCGCGTCGCCCGCGGGGTCCGGGTCCTGGCCGGGGCAGGAGAGCAGTGGTGCGGGGTGCAGAGCGCCCGGGCCATTTGAGGCTGTCCCACCTGCACCATCCCGCCCACGGCTGGGGCGCTCCATGGCTGGGCGCTCGCGGGGTCCCCGACGACCTCGCTGGGCGCAAGCTAAGCTGCGCGGACTGACCGCCGGGTCAGCGACCCGCAGTGTGCGTCGCCCGCCGAAGGTCTCGTTCAGGCCGGTTCCTACCCGCTGTGGGCGTCCTGGGGACCCGGCGAACCCGGGCGGAGACGCTTGTCCGCGAGCGCGGGGCCTGGTCCGCAGGGGCACGGGAGGCACCGGCCTCCCGGAGCGCGCGCGCCGTCACCTTGGAGATGCGGCGGCGGGGGGCTCGGAAAGATCTGGCGAGACGCGCGAGAAACCAGGCTGGCCAGACGCATATCACTTGTTATGGGTTTTGGCCGCTGCTAGGCGGCAGGACCACGTGGCCTAATGGATAAGGCGTCTGACTTCGGATCAGAAGATTGAGGGTTCGAATCCCTTCGTGGTTGGGCATTCCTTTTCTTCCCCTCCGCGTTCTCCACCCAATCACGGGCGGGAGAAAACACGGCCACTTCAAGAGAGCACCTGTGACCAGGGAGGGGGGATACCAAAATCTCAGGCAGCATCGTGTTGGGAGCGAGGTGGGGCCGGGGGCTTTCGCCTTCTTGGCACGTCCTTGACCCTCAGGCACGCAGAGTCCCACCTGGTGGTGGGGGTGTGGTTTCAGTGTCGCTCCCTTCAGAGGCCCTGGAGGAGCTCGGCCGTTCCAGATCCGCTCCCACTGCGGGCGCCCTCGCCATGCCCCGACTGCAGGACTGAGCGCAGGAGGACGGAGACTCAGGCCAGGTACACCGGGATATTGGCACGAAATGGACTGATGATTAAACCAAAGCACGAACCAAGTCGGATCAGAAATACCAGCCGTGATTCTGAACTATGGAATACAATGAACGGAAATGGGCGACGAACACCTTCCCTCCGAGGAGCCCTGGAATCCACTAGGCAGGCCCCATGACCGCGTGGACGGCAGAAGGGCCCACGGAGCCGGCGAGGTTCCCGGGGGCAGGGACACGGAGGGCGTCCATGTTAGCCGTAGGGCGTGTCCAGGGGTGGGGATAAGGAGGGCGTCCAGCCCTGGGGTGGGGACACAGAGGGTGTCTGACCCAGGTGTGAGTGTGTCCCAGCCTGCGGACACGGAGGGCATCTCTGGCAGCCATGGGGCATGTCCCAGGGTGGGGACACAGAGGGTGTTTAGCCCAGTGCAGGGCGTGTCCTGGGTGGAGATATGGAGGGCGGAGGGCGTCTAGCCCAGCGCGGGGCGGGCCCCGGGTCAGGACACCGAGGGAGTCCGGCCCAGCTGTGGGATGTCCCAGGCTGCGGCCCTGCCCTCTCCGCCCCCAGCCAAGGCTACTCTCAGGCCCAGGTCCTGGGCAGGACAGGCAGTGGGGCGGACGATGTGAAGGTTCAGCGCTGAGGGAAGAGAGGAAGGAGGGGAGCAGGAGAGAGAGAAACCGGGAGAGGGCAAGGAGTCCAGGAAGGGAGAGAAGGGACCCATGTTTCTTATGCTGCTGGTTCCAGGACTCGAACCATGCAGTCATCTGTGTGCGACCACCTTGATTGCTATGCCACTGGCTGGCCCCCCAATTTACTTACAGTAAATCTGTACTTTTAGTTCCATGTTTTATGAGCTTTTTGAAGCCATGTGGGCCGTGTATAGTAGAGTGGCAAGGACGAGGGAGAGGTCCAGCACAGGGAACTCAAAACCACCAGGGAGATCCCAGCTGCTGCAGGAAACACTTCCCTGGGGACCGCAGGGCAGGTTCTGAGGCCGAGGCATCTCAGGTCGGGGGATTCCGGCCTTCAAACAGTGGAGAGCACTGAGGCCTGGTGCTGTGGCCGACTGCGGAGGACCAGAGGCAGGGAGGCTCCCAGGGCCACAGGCTCTGGCCCCACCAGCACGCAGGGGCACTCTGTCTAGTGGGACGCCTCCCCTGCTCCCACCCCACCCTGATGGCTCCCACAGGGCAACAGGATGACGAGTTAGAAACTGATGACACGTTCATCCAAGGACAGCAGATGTGTAGTGGAACCGAGAGTGCGTGGCTATAACCCCATTGCTGTTTTCACGCCTCAGGGTCAAGAGAAAAGGGTGGGAGAATGCAGATCATGATGGCGAAATGGACAGCTTCCTTTTTGGGTATGAAGAGCTGGATTTGTAACAGCAGTCTGGGGATTTAAGGTTTCCATTCTTAAAATAAAACAAAAACTAATTACTTTATTTAATTTCATTCTTTATTATTTTTTATTTAACCAGAGAGAGAAAGAGAAAGCAAGCTGCCAGGTCCAGGGTTTGAACCACAGGCAGCCATGGGAGAGCTCAGTACCTTAAACACCACACCACCAGCTGGTGCTATGATTTCTGTCCTTTGTTCTTCACCCACATCGTCCTCTAGAACACTGGTAGCCTTCCGGATATGTGTGGGCCTGGTGGAGCAGAGACTTCAGCAGAGTAAGGGGATGCGGTTGGGGAGGCTGTGGCTGGAAGGTGGGTGTTTGGAGCAGGTGTTCGGGTCCGGCCTGAGCTGCGGCCTACGTGGTCTTGAACTGCTTCAGGTATTCCAGGATGTCTGACCTGACCATGCTCATGGGAGCCTTGTGGAACCAGCGCAGGGCGGGGACTCCATCAGGCCCCACCAGGAACTTCTCAAAGTTCCAGCGGATGTCGTGGACTTTCAGGGGCTCCCAGGAGATGTATTTCAGTGAGCCCAAGACCTCAGA